TGTGTCTGTGTTCCAGGACCTGTCGTAGTGTGAAGATGTGGTCTATACAACCACGTCCAGGTCGAAAACCAGCCTGGTTTTCTCGAGTCTGCTCTTCGCGAGCTCTAGTTAGACGTCTAAGTATAATCGAGGCTAACAATTTAGAAACTATATTAGTTAAACTTATTCCCCTGTGATTGTCACAAGAAGACTTCTGTCCTTTCTTGCAGATTGGGACAATTAGCGACTGAGACCGGTCAGATGGGATTACGTCCATTTCCCACATTCTACCTAGGATCTCGGTCAGTTTAACCGTTAAAATTGGACCACCATACTTAAACATCTCAGGGGTAAGCCTGTCGGGACCTGCCGCTCTACCTCCCTTTAGATTTCCTATAGCTTTCTCAACTTCATGTAAACTGGGAGGACTTAAATCGATTTGCCATTCAGGATGACTGGAGATCGTGGGCAACGGAAGAGTGGCTGAAGGCCAGTTGAACTGATCCCTAAAGTGTTCTGCCCATCGGTCCAGCCTCCTAGATTGAGAATGGATAATAAGACCATGCTTTTCCGAGATAGTCTCACTTACATTCGGGTTCCTAATACCGGTTTCTTTGATAAGGCGGAAAAGTTGTCTAGTGTTGCCTATCGCCGCTGCCTTTTCCATCGCTTTTGCTTTCGCCACCCACCACTGTTCACGGTCGTTACGTAGGCTTTTTATAAGTCTGCGCCTAAGCTGACTACGCTCTTCATCATGTTCAGAGTCAGGTGGGATGCGTTTTCGAGCATCCATCAGTTCGGTGGATGCGACTGATATCCACGGCTTCATCCTAGCCTTGTGGTTTACCTTGCTAGCAGATACCATTGCTGTTTCCACAGCCTTCTTGATATGATTCCAACCTGCTTCAGGATGGGAATCACTTGCATGGCCGCCTAACTGTATTTCTAGTTCCTCCTGAAATATTTTCTTAGCTTGATTATCATCAAGTAGAGCCCTAAGAGGCTTCCTTACTGTGTCTTTCCTACGTCCAGCAAGCCTCAAACAAATACGTGCTCGCACTAGGGCATGATCTGAATCTAAACATGTGCCCCAGAACGAGCGACAGTCCTCTATCGAACCGCTCCATCGGTGGCTGATGGCGATATGATCTAGTGGTTTGTCCAACGTTGAGACGACTTCGGGGTCGCCAGGTCAAAAGGTGTTTTTCCTTATGCTTAAAATTAGTGTTTGCTAGAAATAGTTGGTTATCTGAGCACAGTTGCAACAGACGGTCGCCATTGTCTGTTCTTTGAGCCGCGAGACCGTAACATCCACCTAGGTGTCTTTCATTTTCACTTAGTCTACCTACTTGTGCATTGAAGTCACCAGCCATTATAACTATATCAGAGCGCTTAACTTTTTGGAGGAGGTCCGAAAGCTTTCTGTAAAACTCATCTTTTACATCATCTGGGCTGCAGTCAGTGGGGGCGTAGGCTGATATGACGAAGAGGCAACGGCGAGTGTCCCTATCTTTCCGAGTCCTTACTGTCCCGTTCAGTCGGACGGCGCACAAGCGACTATCTACAGGGATCCAGTCAAGGAGAGATTGTTCTGCCCTACGACTCAATGCTATACCTACACCGGCGAGGCCCCTAGAAGCAGCATCATGGCTACCGGATACACGAAGGGTAAATCGAGCTGCTTCTTTATCTTGACATGGTGAGGTCAAATGAGTGATGCTACTCGGATCCTGTATGCGCGTTTCCGAGACGCAGCATACATCGATGGAGCGAGATTCTAAAGTCCTAGCTAATGATGCCTGTTGCCCTATTTGACACAATGTCCGTACATTAAATGCTCCAACATTTCATCTAGAACGGGGTTTCAAGAGACCAGGAACGACGTTTCGCAAACTCGCATCGTTTGCATTAGCTGTGCACTGTAATAAATGAATGTGAGAAGAGTTAGTTGTGGAGATAAGAGAGGTATTAGGGAATGTAGGAAGGATTTGATTTTGAACAATTTTGTCTCGTGTGCTGTTGCGGGTATGAGGGCGGTTATCACTTCCCGGCTGCCCACACCGTGGAAGGTTGTTTCTTGACGAACCTGAAAAGGAAGATGGATTAGTGTTGGTGCGTGACCGCAGAGTCCAAGGGACAACTGCTTGAGGCCGGTCACGCACGGCCTTTTTATGAGAGGTATTTAGAGTATTAGCTCCGTTCTTAAAGGCCCTTAGTGGGCACCCTTACCCAAGGAGACGGAAATCCGTGAGGTAGGGGGAGTGTGACATTTTTAGGGCCGACCTTTTCTAACCCTTCCTTCCTTGTGAGAAGGCAGCATCGCTGCAGATGCTGGTTGTCCGAGGGAAACACCTTACTGCTGTCACACCCCTCTGCAGTCAGCAGTACGACTTCGCCCTCAGACCTTGGGTAGCTGCTTTTAGTCTCATCGTTCTCCAATCGACCTGCCTATCATGGTAGGACCCGCAGGAACATGTGTTCCAGCCAGTATAGCTCGGTTGGGTCATCACGATAGGCAAGCCCGACCACCACGTCAAGGTAGCAGCCTCGGTCGGGGGTGGCTCGCTTACTGACTTATAATATGCCGATGACATTGTCCTACTTGGTGAAGACGCTGACAAAATGCAGAGTCTTCTGACTACCCTAAGCAACAATGCAAGCATGTTCGGGATGCGGTTTTCCCCCTCGAAATGCAAAATGTTGCTTCAAGACTGGGTTGCATCGGCACCTGAACTAGTGATAGGGAGTGAAGTGGTTGAACGTGTAGACCGCTTCACTTATCTTGGGAGTCTCATCAGTGCCGATGGCCTGGTGTGTGACGAAATCTCAGCTCGGATACAGAAGGCTCGATTGGCTTTTGCCAACCTGCGCCACTTATGGCGTAGGCGAGATATCCATTTGCTGACTAAAGGACGAGTGTACTGTTCAGTAGTTCGCTCCGTCTTACTTTATGGCTGTGAAACATGGCCAGTGAGAGTAGAAGATATTCGTAGGTTACTGGTTTTTGATCATAGGTGTCTTCGAAGCATTGCTCGTATATCGTGGGACACCCGAGTGAGCAACGCTGTTATTAGGAATCGGGTGCTAGGTAAGAATGGCAGATCAATCGATGAAGTATTGAAACTTCACCAGTTGAGGTGGTTGGGACATGTATTGCGTATGCCCAACCACCGACTGCCTCGACGAACTTTGTTTTGTAGTGTAATAGTAGGTTGGAAGAAAGTTAGGGGCGGCCAAATCAAAACATGGCAGAAATCCATGAAGTCACTGACAGGTGGACTGAGTCATGTCGGTAATTGTCGACTACCTGGTTGAGGTCCGCGAGATGATAATAATCGATGGTTAGAGACCTTGAATGACATGGCTCAAAATCGTTCGCAATGGCGCCGGTGCATTTATTCTTTGTGTTCTCTCAAATCCTAATCTTCTGGATTCTTCAACACCTCTAGTTTCGACTCTCTAAACTTTTCTCACTGAATCATACTTCTTGAATAGTATCTTCTAACCCTAACCTCTTCGATTACTTCTAATTCCCTTACTACCTCTTCTACTATTGGATTTGAATTGACGATTACTTCTCTGTGCTGATGTGGTATGGCGACATGAACTGATGTACTTATGTACAAAGTTCTACGTTGCATCTGACTGACTGACTGGCTGGCCATGTTTCACAGCCATAAAGTAAGACGGAGCGAACCACTGCACAGTACACTCGTCCTCTAGTCAGCAAACGGATATCTCGCCTACGCCATAAGTGACGCAGGTTGGCAAAAGCAAATCGAGCCTTCTGTATCCGAGCTGAGATTTCGTCACACACCAGGCCATCGGCACTGATGAGACTCCCAAGATAAGTGAAGCGGTCTACACGCTCGACTACTTCACTCCCTATCACTAGTTCAGGTGCCGATGCAACCCAGTCTTGAAGCAACATTTTGCATTTCGAGGGGGAAAACCGCATCCCGAACATGCTTGCATTGTTGCTCAGGGTAGTCAGAAGACTCTGCATTTTGTCAGCGTCTTCACCAAGTAGGACAATGTCATCGGCATATTATAAGTCAGTAAGCGAGCCACCTGGTAAAAGGTCAACTCCTGAAAATTCAGACGAGGATAAGGTTATTTCTAGGAGCATGTCTATGATAAAATTAAACAAGAATGGAGAGAGTGGACATCCCTGACGGACACCACTTGATGTACAGAATTCCGATGACAGTTCGCCATAAGCCCTCACTCGACCAGTGGTGTTCGAGTAAAGGCCTTGTATAAGGTTAATGTGCTTCTTTGGTACACCTTTCAATGACAGACACTGTCACAGAACCTCACGATCCACAGAGTCAAATGCCGCCTTAAGGTCCAGGAAAACAACTATTGTAGGACGCCTAAATGTGTGTCTATGCTCCAGGACCTGTCGTAGTGTGATGTGGTCTTTACAACCACGTCCAGAAGAAAACAAACCCAGTAGGGTTTATAAATGGATCCGAATCCTAGTTAAACTAACACAATTTGGTCTGAGTATGATAGTTACAAAAGTCCTTGCCTGAATATGAGTGGGTGGATATTCAGTCATTTTAAAAATCCAGTATGAACTCCACAAATATAAATGTTTTACATAATAAATGGATCATGGAAAACGACAAGTGCTAATTCCCAGACGGTAATCGTTTCCAGGTAGGTTAGTTTGGCATGGGGACAATTACTTTCTAACAAGAACATATAAACATTAGGAAAGATTTTGACAAAAAGCTACTGAATTTTGTAATAACCAGACTAGAACAACTTACACAAGATTTTCTAGAGATAGAACACCCATCCCGCGGAAATCTGTTCCAGGATTTTCTGTTTGAAACCCCAGAAGTGTCCATCGCTCTTTATTATAAACTGAGCGTTGGTTTTGAGAGGCTAGACAACTCCATAACTAAAAAACTGGAAGTCACATGTGGGAGAAACTACCCTTGAAAGTAATTCGGAATGGTGATTATTATCAGCATCGAACCCAGTACACCTCATAACGTCCAATTCATTGATCAGTTCCCGGTAAGAGTTAATTTGATTGATGCAATACAAATAATCGTTAGGAAAACTGAGATAGGCTTGTGTATATGATAGTACTTTGGTTGATCTTTAAGTTCGATACGTTTAGCACCAATCACAAGCTGTACATAAGACATAGCATCTGCATACTTTTCTAAATACAATCCATTCCGAACAGCGTGATTTCTAGAATTTCTCAGAGAATTTTCTGCCGAGTGTTATCGACAAAGTACGAAAATAAACCAACCTATTCTGGAAGTTCTGGGTGCTCCTTTAGGATAATTAGCGACTATGCGACTTAATTCACACCTCCCCGTTACTATTCGAGTGATATACTTTATCATGGGACGAAAAAATAAGTATATAACCTGGAACAGGTAACATAGTGTGTATGTGAAAATTATCATTTGTGATATTAGCGGTAAGACTAGGATTTCTAATTTGCACTTATCACATCAGCTTGTGGACAATCCAAAAAAGCACACAGCAACAAAACTGTGACTCCAGCCTTTGGTTGGTTTGCGTCTAGCCAGGAGGTACCTTGTGTGGGGTGATGTGTGGAGCAGCGTTTGAGATTATCTGGAAGAAAGAACAAAGAAAAAGATGAGCCGACGACTCAGTGAGCAAACAGAATGCACTTACAAACAATAGACGAATTAACAGAGAGCAACGAGAAATATAGCATGAGATTAGAACAAACTGACAAACGAAACTAGGAGGACTTAGAGTTTCGATGCGGTACACTACGCCAGAACAAACGACGAGCCTTTACGACCTATATTCAATATCGAATATTATTCACTAGCTGGTATAAACCAACTGATTTATATGCGCTAGAATCTTGTTCTTTCGGTATGGTTGCAGGTGTTTGGTGGTATCCAAAGAATGTGGGTCTAGCCCAATCTGTAAATTTCAACAGTCATGGAACAACTACTGGTTCTTTCCAAAGACGACTTGGCGCGGCCGTTAGAAGCTGTGGGCTGACTGAGCATCTATGTATAGAGTGCCACAATCTTCACTACCAAATCATAAACTAAATTATCTATTGACTTACTTAGTTCTGAAATCTTCTTATTAGCATTAGAATTTTGTCTCCATTATTCTCCACATAGCAACTAATTGATCTCCGCTCTGGCAATGTGATAGCTGCTGGTATCCAGAAACCCTACTACCCTTAAACAAACGTTTCATTCAAAACACGGGACATACAAACTCACAACCAACTACCAAACACCTGGAACCACAACGAAAGAACAAGAATCGAGCGCAAAGAAGTCAGTTGATTTATACTAACTCGTGAAAAAGATATTAGATATTAGATACTGTACATTAGCCACTCGACTATCTAATTCTAGTAATTTGGCTCTTTGTTGTGCGTTTGTATCCAATATGACCAATATCCTGTCATGGAGCTGGTCTGTAACAGGCGGGGTCCTTCCTATTTCCTCCTTTGAAGATTGGACAGAGAGTAGCTTGCTTCCATTCAGCTGGGAATTGGTGTGACTCCCGTAAATGCCTGAACAGGTCACATGTCGGTGAACAGAGGACTTCTGCACATTGTATCAAGACTATGTGGTGAGTATTGTCACAACCTGGTGACTTTCCTGGGCGTTAGCATTTTAGTTCCCTTAGTATTGAGTCAGGAGTGATACGGATATCCACTAAGTCGTCAGCTGGCACTGGGTTTGCGTAGTACTCTGAACATGTGGATACCTGAGTTAAGCGATCGCTGAAGTTTGTGTTGAAGATCTCAGCCATCTCTCGTCTGATGAGGTCGTCCTTATTCGGACCTTTGAAATAACACAGACCCTGATTCATAGGTTTTCTTTTAGTCATGAACCTAAACAGATGCTTCGGGTTAGCTTGACCTGAAAGCGTCTCCTGTCACTTCGAACTTTGGTTTTGCATCTATTTCCCAATGCCGAGTAAGAACAACGGTCGAAATCCTTCAAGAAGACCTTTCCCTTGTGCCAGGCTATCATTTTCGCCTGTAGTAAGCGATCAGTCCTGTGACTAAACCATGTTCTTCTATTTACTGGTGTGTGTTGTGATTGAGGTACATTGTCTACGACAGCATCATGTATTATGTTATAGTAAGTCGAAATAAATATATTTCTTCGCGGGGTTACTGATGTAAATTTCTATTATCCAGAAGTCAGAAAGAAGACTGTTCTGGAACAAGTAGTATATTTATCTCTAGCCTCGGGATATCGGAATAATGACGAGACTAGGGTACAGGAGAGGCTTACAACAATTGAGGAGATGATCGGAGTCGGAACAGCACGCTTGGCGCGCAAGAGATAGTCTTTAGTAAAGATAAACTAGAGGTGTACAATATAACAATTATTGTCAGAATTAAGTACAACAATAAATTTTTATATTTCAGCAATGGGACATGATGAAGGGTATCTCTCATACGCCTATAATTAGCCCTAGTGTAGCAAAGATAGGGCTCGTTTTCTTATTGTGTTTGTGTTTCATTTATAATCATGTTGAACAATACTATGCCAAGGTCACTATTCCCTACTAGTGTTTGAGCGTGAACATCCTCGACCAGGAGCTGATCATTTGTTAACAAATAATCCTGTTTTGAGGAGTTTCCCTCCTTAATCCATCTAGTGGCACTCTATACATAGATGCTCAGTCAGCCCACAGCTTCTAACGGCCGCGCCGAGTCGTCTTTGGAAAGAACCGGTAGGAGTTGTACCCTGATTGCTGAGAATTGGTGATGTCGTGTTGAAATCTCCAGGTGAGAGTATTTGAACCAGCCCAGGCAGTGTCAGTTGCAGACTTGCGTCAGTCACTTTTTCTTCTTGGGCCTTCAGTCAATCAGTCAGTCAGTTACAACTCAGCATTTCGTGCGTAAGTACATCAGTTCAGGTTGCCATACAACATCAGCACAGAGACGCAACTGACAGTTCAAATCCCATAGTGGTAGCGATATTAGAGATATTAGCAGTAATGAAGAGGATTAGGGTGAGAAGAAATGATTCGAGAAGTATAAATCAGTGAGATTACTTTAGAAAGAGAACAATAGAGATGATAAATAATTCAGGTTAGAATTTGTGAGAACACGAAGAGTCGATGCACTCGCGCCATCGCAAACGATTTTGAGCCATGTCATTCAAGGTGTCTAACTATTGGTGGCATACCTCTCGCGGACCGCAACCAGCTAGCCAACATGACTCAGTCCACTTATCAGTGACATTATGGATTTCTGTCATGTTTTGTGTGGAAACAACACCAATATGATTCTTTCGCTTCAGTTAGTTGGTTGTCGTGTAGCCTCTCAGCTTTTAAATGGCTGTTAATAAATATAGCCATTCAGGCTTCTGTTCGGTGTATCCTATCGCTTCGGAAGAGTGTCACTCCCTACAAGCTCACTTCGACGTCTGCAATGTCATGAGATAGCCATGTTTCAGTTAGGATCATGATCTTCAGATCCATATACCCGATTTCTAACAGCTTACTCCTTAGTCCTCTTACGTTGCCATAGAGGCACTTGGTGGTGTGTTTCATCGCCTGATGCACCTCTGCAGCAACAGCTGTTGTCAGATTTTCAGACAAGTTGTCTAAACCGAGTTGGCCAGTTCCCATAGAACCGGCCTCTGCGGACTGTTTTGCTTGTGCAGTGCGTTCTGTCGGCGAGACTATTATCTTCCTGTCTTGTACCCGGGGTTATTGATCGAGGCCAACTGTCAATTTTGTGCGCTTATTTTGGCCTCCCTCTTTTTGTCTCACAGATCTAGGTCGGCTTTCGCAACAACTAATGTGGCTAGAGAAGTCGTTCTTCGAACTATACCAAGCCTGAAGCACCTCAGTTAGGTCTTCCTGACTCCACAACCATCAGGCGCGGTGGCTGAATGGATGTATGGTTTAGCAGGCGCTTCAGTATTCATTTGCCAATCTTGTTCGATTTTTTTCAGCTAATAATTTTTTATTCATATTATCCAGTATTCGGTTGTATTGAGCTTGTATTGCTCTAGTGAATTTTTTTATTTTCGTTTCCTTTTATTTTCGAATAGTTCACTCCCGTATGCTGGGTCTACAGTGAGGTGCTCCTCTTTTCAGCTGCACTATTTCTGATCGTTTAGTTGGTTTACTGTGTTTTTTTTGTATTTCGCAAGAAGTACATACATGTATACTAAATTATGTAGAAAGTGTAATCAGAATGAAATTTATTGATGAAATAAGCAACAAAGATGATGATAAGCGAGATGAAAACGAGGTAATGATATGTGAAAATAATGAAATCAGCCATAGCTAGTCGTCAAGCGAGATGGTAATCTATGAATAAACAGGAAATTGTTACTGAAAAATCTTGTTTCGCATTAGGTTAATGTCATCTGATTAAAACGAGGTTATGTAAAATTATTCAGAATTTATCCCTTAGTTGTGGAAGTTGATGTAACTTCGACTAGAGGAGTATTTCGGGTAGGACAACTACGAATTAGACAAATCGGTAACCCAGCTACGTTAATTTCTTTCAATGTTCTTTATTGCGGATTGTTCCACGGTAATGAGATGGTAATATCATGACAGAAATTCGTGTTAGCGTGATTTGTAGCATATAGTATGTAGTGTGTAATAACCATGTAACCACCGATTCCTGTATGATTAGAAGAATTCTCACTGACAATAACAAATGCCGATAGAAATGGATAGTGTAATGGTGTCCTCTGCATTGGTTAGTTTCAACATATATCAAGCAAAACGCTAGTTCCTACGAACCAACGCAGTATACACCACTCATATGATACTTAAATCTGCGTGAAGCCTTTCTGAGTATACGGCTATACCCAAGCCCAGATAACGTAGAATAGTTGAACCTGGAGCTAACGACCTCATGCAGCAGAAAACTAAACTACAAAAACAGCTCACCAGAGCAAATAATTCCAAACCATTTAAACTCTACCCTGGAATTTTGTAGGTGTTCATTTAGAAGAGTTATGACGTCTCATGATGGAAGTCAAGTTTCTTCGGCGGTCACGAGGCTACACCGACCACTAATGTTAATGCATAAAATGTCCGTACATTGAAGCAGACCGAAACAACCACTGAGGAAATGAAAAAATACAGCACGATGCTACTTGGAATAAGCGAAACTTAGTGGACTCAGGTTGGACAACAAAGACTAGCTTCAGGAGAGCTGCTGTTATACTCCAGCCATAAACAAGAAAATCCTCGCATAAGGAGTTGCACCAATGATGTCCAAACAAGCACAAAATGCACTGATAGGATGGGAGTCTCATGGACCCAGGATCGTCGAAGCATCCTTCAAAACCAAGAAAGAGGGTATTATAATGAACGTCATCCGATGCTATGAGCCTACCAATGAAAACGTTAAAGATGAATTCTACGGGAGACTTCAGTCAATCGTCGAGAAATGCTCATCAAAGGACTTGAC